GTCTATTTTTGTGCCAATATCATACTATTTTGATTACTATAGCTTTGTAATATAATTTGATGTCTGGAATTGTGATGCCTCCAGCTTTGCTTTTGTTTTTCAAGACTGCTTTGGCTATTCAAGTCTTTTGTGGTTCCACACAAATTTTAGGATTGTTTGTTCTAGTTCTGTGAAAAATGCTGTTGGTATTTGGATAGGGATTGCTTTAAATGTGTAGATTGCTTTGGGTAGTAAAGACATTTTAACAATATTTGTTCTTCCAATCCTTAAGCATGGAATGTTCTTCCATTTCTTTGTCTTCAATTTATTTCATCAGTGTTTTATAGTTTTCAGAGTACAGGTCTTTCACCTCCTTGGTTAGGTTTATTCCTAGGTATCTTACTATTTTTTGGTGCAATTGTAAATGGGATGGTTTTCTTAATTTCTCTTTCTGTGGCTTCATTATTGGTGTACAGAAACGCAACAGATTTCTGTAGACTGATTTTGAGCAGGGAACTTCTTTAATGTGATAAAAGTTTTAACAAAAACAAAACAAAACAACAAACCTTCAGCAAATGTACTTGGGAGTGAAATGTTAAAAGCTTTCTCTCTGAGATCAGGAACAAGACAGGGAGAGCAGCCCTGGGATGATGCAGTGTTCTATTTCTTGACCTGGGTAATAAATTCATGTGTGTTTACAATAACGTATTAAGTTCTTCATTTTATGTTTTATGTACAATCTAGAATATGTGTTGTAGAAAAAAAAAGAAATACTTGGAGATGAACAAAAGGCTGATTAAGACTATCACTAAAGCTCAGCAACTCTGTAGGTCCTAATTTTTCCCCCATTATGATTAATTTCAAACCAACTAACATTTATTGGGCCTATAAGACATTGTACAATCTGGCAACATGCATTATTAACCTTAAAGATGTTTGCAGCCTATCATCCAGTAACTCTACGAACCCATCTTAAGGAAAAAGGCCAAGATAAAGAGAAAAAGAAATCCATTATGTGCTAAGATGTTCATTGCACACATGAAAATAAAATGGAAAACAACTAAACTACAGGGAACAGTTAAGAAAAGTAATTCTTACAATGGGATTATTATACAGTCAATAAAAATAAGATTTACAAAAGAGTCTAAGAAATGTACATACCCTAATTTTTTTAAATTGGAAATATATACACACAAACAGTATGACTAATGGGGGATATGTCTTAGGCACAGAAAAAAGACAAAATGAGGAGGGACAGAGGGCTATAAAGCTATACTGGTTTTCTTTATGTGATGAGCTTATGGATATTATCTGTACTTTTATTTCCTGAATTTCCTGTAATGATCATATAAAGCTTTAATAACGGGGTATATAAGAACTGAAGAAAATAATCACAAACCTAATGTATCTTATTTTAATTACTTCAAAATGTAACTAAAATTTCAATCAGTTTTTATCTCAGTATGATTTTATTCAGGTAAACTATTTTCTAACAGTTAAACTGTTTAAGTCTATAATTTGCTAATTATTTATAATAATTTCTAATTATATTTAGTATTTTAAATCCTATAGCCTTAAAAATAATAATAATTAGATCTCCAAAGATATATCATCTCCAGTTTTCTGGCCATAATTCTAAACCAGTTTGCTCCTAACAGCGAAAAGAGAAAATGATCTATAAACAGGCTTCAAGCAGTCATTTCTGTAAAAGCAAAATAACTGTTAGTCTCTGAATAAAAGATTTGTTATGGCTCCTCACTTTCTTGAGTAACCATTTTCAACCTCAGTTTTGCCAATATCCTGGTATTTTCTGACCAGTTGTGAGGTATGTCTCAAGTAATCTGTTATCAATCATAAAGTATAAATGCGTTCAATGCTTATCATTAGAAATAATAATAAATTGAAGCAAATGTAAGATCAACCCTATATGACTTAACACAGTTTGCATTCCAGTATACTTGAAAGAACACAGTAGAGATAAATCTTACATTTTGCGAATTCTACATTCACTTACTCAGTACTTACTGAGCATCTGTTAGAGACAAGGAACTAAAGGCACCGTGCAAACAATAGAAACAGAACTGAAAACTATTAGGTCATAGGGTTAAACATAACTATCATTTTACATTTTAAAACTTTTAATAGACTAACCCAATCCTACTTTTCACTACTTGCCAGCACAAACTTTTTTCCTCTAGTTCTCTGATTTTCTTTTAAAATATTCTCGCCTTCCCTGTTGCCAAATCTCAGCTCGAGCTGTTCCCCAGCGTAAGTGCTTTTTGTTCATTCACCAGCACCTGTAGAATGCTCACTATATGCCACGCACTGTGCTTGGAATGAGAGAAGGAAAAAGACTTTTCTATCTTTTCTATTCTTTGAGCCTGGATTGAGTCCTGCTTCTTTCTCCAAGAATTACTCATTATCCTCTCCATACTCTGAATGCTGTAACCATTACTATCTAACACAGTGGGCTCTCACTCTTTAATGTAAGAAACCATTTTTAATATCAAAATGTTTCATGAATCTGATTCTCACTCCTTAGGTGACCTCATTTGGTCCCATGGCCCTAAATACCATCTATACACTGATAACTTCCAAACATAAACCTCCAGCTCCACCTCTCCCTTGAACTCCTAATAGATATGCCTATTCAACGTCTCCACTTGAATATCTGACAGGTATCTCAAACAGCCACATCCAAAACAAAACTCTTGATTTACATCTCCAAATCTGTTTTCCACCTACCCACTACCTCACAGCCCCCATCTCAGTAAAATATGCCATCTTTCACCCAGTTGCTCATGTTGAAAAACTTGGGAGTCATCCTTTACTTCTCTCTCCCTCACACTCCACATCTAATCCATCAGTAAATCCTAATTACTCTACTTTTTTTTCTTTAAGGATTTTATTTAATTATTTTGAGAGAGAGAGGGAAAGAGAGTGCAAGTAAGGGAGGGGCAGAGGGAGAGAATCTCAAGCTGACTCCAGGCTGAGTGTGGAGCCCGACATGGGGCTTGATCTCATGAACCTGAGATCATGACCTGAGCCAAAATCAAGAGCTGGACACTTAACTGACTGAGCCACTCAGGTGCCTCTCTACTTTCTAAGTGTATCACAAATCTGACCACTTCTTTGCTCCCCTAGCACTACTACCTTCTCCAAGTAGCACATTTCCAACCTAGATTATTGTAAGATTTTCCTAACTGGTTTTCCTGCTTCCATTCTTGCCTTCAATTTTCAACAAAAGTCGGAGTAATCCTCCAAAAAACAAACAAACAAACAAAAAACAAGTCAAATCTGGATATTCCCATGTTTAAAACACTTTAATGATTTCCATTTCACTCAGAGTAAAATTGAGTCTTCAAATGACCTTCAATGCTCTACCTGATCTAGCCTCTGCCTGTCCTACCAACTGTCCTACCACACTCCCCTTCACTCACTCTATTTCTGCCACACCGGCCTCCCTGTTGTTCTTCCAACATGCCAAACACACCTCCATCTCAGAAGGTGCCGCTCCCTCTACCTGAACATTTTACCTCAGATAGCTCCACAGCTAACTCCCATCACTTCCTTCAGGTCTCTCAGCTCAAAGGGCTTCTCAAAAAGACCTTCCCTCACCAACCTATCTAAAGTAACATCCTGTTACTCTTTTATCCACTAAAACTGTTTTATTTATGTCCAAGCCTATTAACTACCGTGTGTGTGTGTGTGTGTGTCTGTGTGTGTGTGTTCACGTGGACGATGTTTATTGACAGCATCTTTAACCAACATTTATGCTCAGACAGAGCAGAGGCTCGATTTTGTTCACTATTGTTGCCACATTATGTGCACACAGCAGACCCCAAGAATATTTACTGGATGAATGATGGTAATTGCTTTTAGTTTTGTTGAGAAAATAATGAAAAAACACTACTAGAATTCAGTAAGGCTTTCAAATGAATTTATAATACTCTATTAATCACAAAAGCATTATATACATGCTTTGGTGGTAGAAGGAGTACAATGTACATAATTCAGGGTTCAATAACAACTAAGGGATGGAGCCTTCTTATAATTCTCTATCCCTTCTCACATCCTTCCTATGCCATTCATTAATTCTTTCCATAAATGGTTACTGTGTACCTCTTAGCCAGAGTATTCTAGACATTAAGAATACAAAAATAATTAAGACAAGGTAATGCATTGAGACATATAAAAATAATACAGAATATGACATATACTAGAAATACAAATATAGATTATAAAATTGTACCATAACAGGGGAAGTAATCCACATTTTAGGGGTAGGTGTTGAGGGAAAGTTTTAGTAGTGATGATAACTCAACAAATACTCGCAAAATCAAATAACAAGGTATTCTTCAGTTTACTTTACATGTGAAATGAGGGTTTTAAGTCTTAAAGTGCTACAGTAATTTGCTACCATGAGATAAGCTGGCCTTAGAATGAAACCAAAACAAGGGGAATGACAGAACTGAACAGATCACAGAGAAACTGAGCCAAGTCCTTGATGATTTCAGGCTGGATAAAGCCTTAGATAAAGTTTAGCTACAAGATCTAATCATTCCCTTTATTGTTTAAGCAGTTTGAATTTTGTTTTCTGTCACTTGCAATATAAGAATACAAATGAATGTCTATGAATTCTTTTGAAAAGCAAAGCATTTGCTTATTTCAAGGTGTAGGACCACTACTGGCATTTTTGAAGAGATGAATCTTGTTTTGTGGGAGACATCACAGGACTTTTAGTATATGTGACTTCTACCCACTAATTGTCAGTAGGCCCTCACAAACACTGTGACAACCAAAAATGTCCCTATATATTTTCCAAATGCCTCCACCCCCAAGGGGCAAAACAAATCTATTTTCTAATAGTTTTATATGTACCCATTTGCCTCAGTGGTTCCACCAGGTACACATAAATGTATGTACTTAACATCAACCTTAGGGGTAACTGGTGATGGACATTAAGGAGGGCACATGATGTAATGAAGCGCTGGGTGTTATATAAGACTGATGAATCACTGAACTCTACCTCTGAAACTAATAATACACTATATGTTAATTGAATTTAAATTTAAAAAAAGAAAAGAAAAACATCAACCTTAGGAGAACAGGGATACATCACTCAAATGTCTTAATTTTACATAATCCAATTTTAATCAGTCATTTATGACTATCTCAATGTTTGGCCAAAATCCTATGTATAGTGTATATCAACTCTTGGGGTAAGCAGTGCTGTAAGTTTGCTCCTACTATTGGGAAATTCTTATTTACTTAAACTTACTTTTCCATAAAATACTATAGAGACATGTCACTGATATTGTTGGTCACCTTCCCTTCAGTCATTCACCTAACTTCCTCCTAGACTGAAATGCCAGATAATGGTTTTTCCATTCCCCCTGGCAAGTAGGACATGAACATACCAGGATGACATCTGACATAGGGGTTCTGTGAAAGGTTTATTTGCCTAATCAAGAGACTGGAGGGCAAACTTCCTCCTATCTTTGGTGGCTGTGTGAGAATGTGATGTCTGGAGCAGAAAGAGTAATGTGCAACAATAAGGGGATGAGCCTGAGCACAAAGATCAGCACACTAAGGATAAAGAAGAAAAGCACCTAGATCCTTGATATAACACTACACTGACTGACCAGTAATCCTCCAACTCTGGACTTCTTTTTACGTGAAATACTGTTTACTCTTGGTCGATATTATGTAATCCGAGGCCAAACTAATAGAAGATATATTCAAGATTTGACAGCTGCTGAAAGTGGGAGAACCAAGACGACTGCAGGGTTAGAGTGGGTGGCTGGGAGAAAGGTGTTTACAAAAGAGAAATTAGAAGGAAGGGAAACACATATACACACATGCACATGTAAACACAGTAGGTGAGGGTAGGTGGATTAAAATCAAATTTGATTTGATTCTGTTTGGTATGAGGTAAGCTTATGATAGTACATCTAAGATAAGAGATATACAGCAAGCAATGTAGGTGGGAAGTCAAGTTACAGAATGGAGAAACAACCACACAAAAATGATGATTTATATCATTAAAAATAGGATACAACCACCAAGAGAACACAGTGAAAAGCACAGAGACCTTTAAGTACACTGGTTACCTCTTGTCATTTTAGATGAGGTTCATCCACCAGTTAGGCCAATTAGAATAATTTCACCCCTTTTGACAAAGATATTGTGACAGACTTGGCAGCATGACCTTCTCCATTTGTTCAATCAGAATAGGGGTTAGGACTTTTGGGAAAAGGCTAAAAGAGAATCCTTCTCTCTCCCTTTGGAAATAAAGAAGGCTATCAGATGAACATTGCTGATAGCCATTTTTTTTTACTAGGAGGGAAGCCAGTCTGAGCATAAAGCCCAAACAGGAGGACAAAGTTGAGATATTAGCAGAAAAATGGAACTTTAGCCCCAATGACATAAGCCTATTCTTGAAGACAATTCTATCTATGCACTTCCCAATTATATAAGCCAATACATTCTTTTTGCTTTTATTATTATTTATTTATTTATTTTACCACAGCACTAAGTTTTATTAGGGATTTCATTAAGGTTAAATCTCTAGAAATGAGGGAGTCAGTTCAGGAGCACAAAGCTGATGAAGCCACCTCAGATCTCGTAATGAACCACTGGCTCAGGCTCTTTGGTGGGATCGCTGCCTCGTTCCAGGTACAGATTATTATAAGGATACTGCTTTGGCCCCATAGGCTGGTAGGTGGGGTAAGTCTTCCCAACCCAAAACATGAACAGCATGAAGGCCACGAAGCCGAGGAGGGGCTTACACCTGAGATTCCAGGAAACAGGCGTGCGGGATGTGTCCACACAGTTCCTGATACACATGTCAAAGTCCCAGTGCATCGGTTCACCCCAGTTCAACCTCAGGTCTGGGTGGTCCCAGTTTTACCACGGATCCCTCTTCTGCTGTGAGCGGTCAGGGAGCTTCGGGTAGTTGCCACACCCCATGCCATCATCCGGGTACGGTTGGTAGTCTTCTACCCGCATACTGTATTTCTTGGCGGCGGCGGCCCGTTCGTCCGGGGTTTGGGGATAGGGCCCCGGGAGCATGTCCTTCGTAATGTGCGTTGCTGTCCGTGCACCCAACCGCACCACGGTCCAGATTGCCCTTTGCAGCCATCGGACTCCCAGGACCCGCGCCCCAGCCGCCGCCATCTTCACCTTCCTCCCTCTTTTTGCTTTTAAATCTAGTTTGCATCCTAACTAATGTAGGAACCGCTATGTTTTGGGGGAAGAAGTGCAGGAAATGTTAAAAAACTTTCAGAGACGTAAGAGAATCAGGACATACAAGGCAGAAGAACAAAGAAATCAGATAATCTTATTCCTATAGAGTATATTTCACAAATGATCTTAGGAAACCAAGGATAACAAGAGGAAAGACCATTAGATTTGGTGATTAGGAGGTCATAGGTGACTTTTAAACATTTTTTTTTTTTTAAAGATTTTATTTATTCATTCAAGACACAGAGATACAGAGAGAGAGAGCACGAGTAGGGGGAGAAGCAGAGGGAGAAGCAGAGGGAGAAGTAGGCTCCCCGCTGAGCCAGGAGCCGGACGTGGGGCTCGATCCCAGGACCCTGGGATCATGACCCACGCCGAAGGCAGACGCTTAACCATCTGAGCCACCCAGGTGCCCCGATCATAGGTGACTTTTAAAGTAGCAATTTCAGTGCTGAAATGGCAAAGGAAGTCAGAGTGCAAAGGAAAGAATAATTTATATTTATTAGGAACTCCATAATGTACCAAACATTTGGGTGGACATTAAACATGAGTTAAACTCCTTCAATTATGACTCTCTAAGCAAGTTTAACATTCTATTTTATAGATAAAGAACAAAGTGAGTAGTAACTTGCCCTCAGCCACATAGCCACTAAGTGGTTTTAACAGACTTCAAACCCAGATTTATCTGGCTCAAAAGTCAATGTTCTTCCTACTACACCAGGCTCCTGGAATTAAAGAATAAAAATACAATGGCACAGCGGGCTCAAAATTCAGACTGGCTTCCCTGAGTTGTACAGCACACAACACTGTATTTGGCAGCCTTGACATAGAAGCATATACATAGGCTAGAGAGGGAGAGACTGAAGAAGGAATGATAAAGACAGTTCTACAGAAAGAAAGACAGGCAGGGATGATTGTGGACACATCTGGAGGGGACTACTCTTGAAAAGGGGGAAGGACATTTCTTCCTCTGAGATAGGAGTAAATAAGGAAATGATACTGAGGATAGAAAAGAATATACCTCAGACAGTTAGATTTTTCTCAGGAAAGGAAGAGATCAAGTTATTTGCTGTAAAATCCTTCAGGAAATGAGACAGAAAGGAACACAATCAGCACTAACGACCCAGCAGAGAGCAGAGCACCAACTGATATGAAAACTAACCAATGTCCACACATAACTGTCTCTTGTATCCTTCAGGAGCTCAGGGGTCACACTGAAAGAGCTAGTGATGAGGCTTATTCTGAACTGGGGACTAGAAAGGTAAATCTACAGAAAATAAAGCATTCTAGGGCATCAGTGAGAGCTTAGTAAAAATTGATGACAGTGGGATCCTGGTTTAGAGAGGCAAATGAAATCAGCAGTAGGCTAATGGGTTGGATGAATAGAGAAAGAGGGGGTTCATAAAGACTGTGTGAGAGGGAGAAAACAGGTTCCCTAAGAGTGAAAGAGTAAGAGATTTTAATAACAGTTTGTAAACAGAGATGTGTTTTGACAGAATCCTTCAAATTATTTTCCCAGAGGCAGAGAGCCATTGACTGGAGCTCAGCAGTCCTACTATCCCTTCAGCCAAAAGCACAGAATTGAGATAACCCCCTCAAAAAACATACAGTCCTTGATTGTAGAAAAATGAAGGCTAAAACAAACAAATGAACGAACCAGCCCATACAGAAATCAAACATAAAAATATCTCCCCTTATTTTGAACTAAACAATTCTATCTCTAAATTTAAGAAATTTAAAAAAAATTTAAAAAAAGGAAATTCATTAAGAGGTAAAAGTCTACAGCAAAGGGAAAGAGAGATTGTATGTCATGAGGCAGAATGAAAAGTAAACAAATCTATCAGGCCAATTATACAACCCACATATTAAAGATTGTTAATACAGAATTCCAATAGGGCAAGGATAGTTTGTGCTTTAATAACTTGGGAGAGCACCTAGGATAGCTTCAACAAAATGATATTACTCAATTTAATGTTAATAAAATAGTCCACCCATTTGCAATCGCAAAGGAAAAGCTATTATTTATATCTTTAATCTCATTTTTACAACTTTGGGGCTCTTGAGAAATTATCCAACTACTTCTCTCTCTCCCTTTGGAAGTAAATGACAACGGCTATCACATGAACGTTGCTGATAGCCATCTTTTTACTAGGAGGAGAAGCCAGTCCGAGCACGAAGCCCTTTAAGGAGGACAGAATTGAGATAACTGCAGAAAGACAGAAAATATGGGAGAAACAGAAATGGCAACTTCCTCCACTACCATTTCAATCCTGCAGTTTGCACTTACAAACTTTGGCAAGATACCAGGTTATTTAGGACAGTTTCTTACACCATTAATTCTGAGTACCCTTGCCCCAGTAACGAAAGAGGGAGAACTGAGACTGGCACAGCCTAAATTTTGCAGAAAATATCAAGTCCTATAGCGACTGTTAAGTAGTAGCAACAATCGAGAATCCAAGAGATTTGAGAAGTTTTGAGTTTAAAAAGCCCTTCTCCATTTTAGTCCCTTCTAAATAAAACAAAAGCTTGTACAATACGGGATTCTAAAGCTTCATTGGGCAATTTAAGCGAACACTGAATAAAAGAATAAATCACTTAACCTTTCTTGTGCTATTACATATCTTACATTCACAAAGCCTTCTTTTTAAAAACGAACACTTCCCAATTCTTTCACTAGATCTAGAAAACGTAAGCCCCCGCCTTAAAAGTTCGGAGACCAGAGGTTTACTATAGTCAGAGATTAATTTCCATGAACAATCATTTGCATCACAGGCACCATTCTCTACTTTGCAGGAGTTCAATGGGCCAAGAAGTCCAACTCTTCAAACGACCCGTCTCCTGGGGACTTGTTTCCTTCATCAAGGTGAAGCTTTTTCTTTGTAACTATATACGAAACTACCGGGTACTATTCCCAGACAGTTAAACTTTTAAAGGAAGCAAGAGAGTCGAAACCAGGAAGATGGGGAGGCGACTAAAATAGGAGGGGCAACGACCCACCCACCTAACGCGAAGGAGAGACCGCTTGGACCGGTGAAGCTTCACCAGGAGCCAGGAAAGGTGCGGAGGGCGGCAGGCGTCGCGACTCCCTCGCACGGTGTGAGAATGGAGGGCTTGCAAAGCCAGGGTCCAACTGGAGGCCTGAAAGGGGGCGCAGGGCGGGGAGGGGGTGGGACGTGGAAACAAGAGAGCGGCAGAGTCCGGCCGAGCACCATTAGGGTCTGGAGCAACGGCGGGCCACAGACGTCAATGCTTGCGTCTCACTCACCTGCCAGACGCTCGCCCCGCGGCAAGAAGTACGGACGCCGCTTGGGCGCTTTCTCTCCTGCGGTACACAGCCGCTGCCGCTGCCGCTGCCGGAGCTCCAGGACCCGAGAGTAAAAGGTGGTGCAGAAGCACGCAAAGCGGTGACCAGACCCGAGCCCAGAGAGGCGTACATAGGGGGCGCCGGGAGTCCGGGAAGGCAGCTCTGTGCTTCACCTTCCTCAGCAGTAACTAACGACGCTTCCCGGGCACAGCATCTTGCCAGCCTCGGCCCGCTGCTCCCGGGCCTTCGCCCGCTGCTCCCGGGCCTTCGCCCGCAGCTCCCCCAGCAGCGGCCGGGTTTCCGGCGGCCACACTCCGCCCCCTTGCTACTTGGCCTCCGCCATCTTGTTGGAGGCGGGAAGAATGCGGCGCGCATGCGTGCGCAGGGATCGCCGGCGTCCTCCAGCCCCGCAAGGAGGGGCCGGAATGCGCAGTCGCTTTGCCGCAGCGTTCAGACTGGATCCTTCGCGGTCCGAAACCGAATCTGAGTCGCCGGACCTCCTCGCTTTTCTTTGACCGGGTAGTCGCCGAATTAATAAAACCCTTCTGCACATCCACACTCAGTAATTCAGCAAATACCTATGTAGCGCCTACAATGTGAAGCGTTCTAGGCTGGGTGCTGATAAACCTGGCTCCAGCCCAAAAGGAGCTCATAATCTAGTGAAAAAGACGGAGATGAACGAGTAATTCCCTAAATTCTTGTTTTGTACCTGCGCACCACCTCCTATCCCTCGCCCTCCCCCCGCCCATTTTAATTCAAAGCATACCTATTCTGGGAAGTCCTTGTTAGTCTCACACAGTTTTACCTGTTCTTTACCTTTAATTACCTCTCTAGCTTAATTTCATTCAACATTACATTAATTCAACAAATAATATCTGGGTTTCTACTATATACTTGATACTGTCCTAGGCTCCAGCAGTAAGAAGTATAAACTCATGAAATTTACACTCTAGTGGGAACGAATGGACAATAAAAGACAGGTCACAGAATTAATGTTTGATAGTGATTAGGGATGGGGAGAGAGCAAACCACCAAAAGATGAAGGAGACTGAAGGGCGGTAATTAGCAATCTTTCTCCGGAGATGACATCTGATCTGAGGCCTGGCTGACCACAAGGGCCAGGAGCCAAGAGAAGATCTGGGTCAGAGCCTTCCAGGCAGAGGGAACAGCAAAAGCAGAGGCCTGAGGTGGGAATGAGACCAGCAGGTAAGAGGGACAAAGAGAAAAGGTGGCATGGACAGTGGGAGGAGATGAGGAGAGGCAGGGGTCAAATTAGGTAGGGCATTGAGGCCATGGTAAGAGTTGGATTTTACCACAAGGGGCCTGTCTACCTTGCTGACACTGTCCCAACTGCTTTCCAAATACTAAAACTTCCTGACTGCCTATGCTTTGCATGTGCTGTCCCACAGTCTTGAAGATCCTTACTATTGTTCTTTAAATGTCTAGCTTGTCATCTTTTCAGGTTTCAGTGTAACTGTCACCTCAGAAAGGCCGTCCTTCCTAAGCTACGTATCTCTCCTGCTCTCCAGTTAGGTTCCAATATTGCATCTGATCATTTCTTCCATGGCACTCAACATTTTTGTTTTTCTATTTCACCCATCCCCCTACCCAACTCTCTGGCAACCTAGTTTGTTCTCTGTATTTAAGAATCTGTTTTTTGGAGGCGCCTGGATGGCTCTGTGGGTTAAGCATCCAACTCTTGATTTGGGCTCGGGTCATGATCTCAGGGTGGTGGGATCAAGCCCCAGTTGAGCCCCACATCACGCTCTGTACCTAGCGTGGAGCCTGCTTAAGATTATCTTGCTTCCTCTCCCTCTCTGCTCGTGTGCATGCTTGCTATCTCTCTCTCTCTAAAAGAAAAAAAATCTGTTTTTTTGTTTGTCTCTTTTTTTCTTTGTTTGTTAAATTGTTTTGTTTCTTAAATTCTACACAAGTGAAATCAAGTGGTATTTGTCTCTGACTTCCTCACTTAGTATTATACCCTCCAGGTCCATCTGTGTTGTTGCAAATGGCAAGATCTCATCCTTTTTTTATAGCTGAGTAATATTCCATTTTATATATATCTCACATCTTTATCCATTCATCAATGGATGAACATTTGGGTTGCTTCCATATCTTGGCTATTGTAAATAATGCTACAATAAACATAGGGGTGCATATATTTTTTCAAAATAGTGTTTTTGCTTTCTTGAGGTAAATACCCAGTACTGAAATTACTGGGTCACATGGTGATAATTCTATTTTTAATTTTTTGAGGAACCTCCATACTGTTTTCACAGTGGCTGCACCAGTCTGTGTTCCCACCAACAGTGCAAGAGGGTTCCTATATCTCCACATCCTCGCCAACACTTGTTATCTCTTGTCCTTTTGATTTTAAGCCATTCTGACAGGTGTGAAGTGCTGTATCATTGTGGTTTTGATTTTCATTTCCCTGATGATTAGTGATATTGAGCATCTTTTCATATGTCTGTCGGGCATCTGTATGTTTGCTTTGGAAAAAATGTCTATTCAAGTCCTCTGCCCATTTTTAAGTTGGATTATTTGTGGGTTTTTGCTATTGAAGTGTGTAAGTTCTTTATATATTTTGGATATTAGCCCCTTATTGGATATATCATTTGCAAATATCTTCTCTCATTCAGTAGGTTGCTTTTTCATTTTGTTGATGGTTTCCTTCACTGCGAAAAGCCTTTTATTTTTGGTATAGTCCCAATAGTTTAATTTTGGTTTTGTTTCCCTTGCCTGAGGAGACATATCTAGAAAAATGTTTTTATAGCTGATGTTAAAGAAATCACTGCCTATGTTTCCTTCTAGGATTTTTATGGTTGTAGGTCTCACATTTAAGTCTTCAATCCATTTTGAGTTTATTTTTGTGTATGGTGTAAGAAGGTGGTCCAGTTTCATTCTTTTGCATGTAGCTGACCAGTTTTCCCAGCACTGTTTGTTGAAGAGACTGTCTTTTTTTCCCATTGTATATTCTTGCCTCCTTTGTTGTAGATTAATTGACCATATATGGGTTTATTTCTGGGCTATCTCTTCTGTTCCATTGATCTATGTGTGTTTTTGTGCCAGTGCCATACTGTTTTGATTACTACAGCTTTGTAGTATAACTTGAAATCTGGAATCGTGATACCTCCAGTTTATTTTTCTTTCTCAAAATTGCTTTGGGTATGATTTTTTTGTCTTTTGTGGTTCCATACATATTTTAGTATTATTTGTTCTAGTTCTGTGAAAAATGTTGTTGGTATTTTGATAAAGATTGCATTAAATCTGTAGATTGCTCTGGGTAATATGGACATTTTAACAATACTGGTTCTTCCAATCAATGAGCATGGAATATCTTTCCATATGTTTGTGTCATCTTCAGTTTCTTCCATCAGTGTTTTATTGTTTTTGAAGTACAGGTATTTTATCTCCTTGGTAAGTTTACTCCTAGGTGTTTTATTATTTTTGGTACAATTATAAAGTGATTGTTTTCTTAATTTCTCTTCCTGCTACTTCATTATTAGTGTCTAGAAATGCAACAGATTTCTGTATATTAATTTTGCATCCTGTGACTTTACTGAATTCATTTATCAATTCTAGTAGTTTTTTTGGTGGAGTCTTCAGGGTTTTCTGTATGTCAGAAAATGTCACGTTATGTCATCTGCACATAGTGGAAGTTTTACTTCTTCCCTACCAATGTGGATGCCTTTTATTTTTGTTATTGTTGTTGTTGTTGTTGCCTAATTGCTGTTGCTGGGACTTCCAGTACTATGTTGAGTAGAAGTGGTGAGAGTTTAGTCCTTGAAACATACAACCTTCCAAAACTGAATCCCCGGAAGAAATAGAAAACTTGAACAGATCAGTTATCAGCAATGAAATTGAATCAGTAATCAAAAATCTCCCCACAAACAAAAGTCCAGGACCAGATGGCTTCACACGTGAATTCTATCTAACATTTAAAGAAGAATTAATACCTATTCTTCTCAAACTATTCCAGAAAATAGAAGAGGAAGGAAAACTTCCAAATTCATTCTACAAAGCTAGCATTACCCTGATACCAAAATCAGATCAAGACACTACAAAAAACCCACAAAACTATAGACCAATATCTCTGATGAGCATAGATGCAAAAATCCTCAACAAAATATTAGCAACCCGAACCCAACAATACATTTAAAAAAATCATTCATCATGATCAAGTGGGATTTATTCCAGGATGTAAGGATAGTTCAATATTCACAAATCAATCAGTGTGATATATCGTATTTACAAGAGAAAGGATAAAAGCCATGTGATCATCTCAATAGATGCAGAAAAGCATTTGACAAAGTACAGTATTCATTCATGATAAAAACCCTCATCAAAGTAGGTCTAGAGGGAACACATCTCAATATAATAAAGGCCACATATGAAAAACCCACAGCTAACATCTTTTCAATGGTGAAAAACTGAAAGCTTTTCCTCTATGATCAGGAACAAGACAAGAACGTCCACTCTCACCACTTCTATTCGACATATTGTTAAATTATATATTTATTATTTTTTCATTCTCCCACTACATTGTGAACTCCATGAGGAGTGACAATGTTGTTTACCAATAGACACCCTATGTCTAGCACCATGCCTGGCATGGGGGGGGTCACTCAATAAGTGTTTGTTGAATTCATGAAAGTTTGTCAGCACCTAGGTAGTTAGTGGCATTCAACATTGTTTTTCTCTTGTTAGTTTTTAATATTAAATGCAAGTCATTTCCTATTTATATGTCTCCTCAACTAGATTACAAAAGGGAACTTTAGAAAGGGTGGGGACGGAGAAAGAATAAAATGGAGAAGAGTAGGTGATGATGGGGGAGTGGGCAGATTGTATTGCATATGTTTGCAGGACTGGGAAAAGGAAGGCTTCAATTTAATGGAGTGCCTATTTTATGTGCTGTGCACTATGCTAGGTACTTAATCCTCACCATAGCCCTGCTAGGTAGTTATCCTTATTTTGATACATAGAAAAATTCAGAAAAATTAAGTCACTTGCCCAAAGTCAGATGTTAAGAGATACTACTGACCCTAAAGCCCATGCTCTGCCCATCTAGAGTAACTGGATTTGGAGATGGGCCTATTTGGTGATTTGACTCTGTATCATTAGCATGCTTTCATTAGAGACTTGAGCTACTGCCATTTACGAATCCTGGTTGTATTGCTATTCTCGTAGGCTCTCAATAAAGGGCCTGATTGGAAATTGCTGTCATTCTGTTCTTTTGGACTGGAGCAGAGCTCATTTTACCATTTCCTTTTCATGTTTTTTTAGAAATTTGTATTTTTTTTTCTTTAAAGATTTATTTATTTATTTGAGAGAGAGAATGAGAG